GCTCTAAAGCTTTTTACTGCCTCCCACCCACCCCACTGCAGTCATACACTTGGGTACCAGGCTTGTTTATCTGGATTATTGCCACTGACCCCATCTTCAAGGCTGGTAGAGGTGGACAATGCAAATATGGTGATTAGAAGAGTTTCCAAAGCAGAGCAGTCAGCTTTTACATAGGCTTTTTCAGACAGCCTGCATGAAATTTGGTGGTGCCCAGAGCTCTCTGTCACTGTATTGACTCTGGAAGAACTGTGCTTGTATTTAATTTAATTAAAATTAGACAACCATCTGTGGATCCATTCCATCAATTCTGTGGCTATGGCAGAATAAATGTGGATCATGATTATCCACTGGTTTACCATGTTAGTAGAGTTCTGGAATGATGATCTCTGGCTCTGTTGGCCCCCTGCAACAGGGGCCAAAGACCAAATCCTTCTGCACATCTGTCCTGTGTGATGCCTCACTGCATTTTAGTCATAGCTAGCATGCCATCTTCTTCCCATCTTGTCCCCACCCTTCCCCTATCCTTATGTTCTCCTTTCCTCTCCTCCCCACTCTTGTCTTCCACTGAGCTACTGCCTCCACATTCTCTGTTTCTCCTAAATTTTTTCTCTCCTCTTGGACAACTATACTCTCCAGAGTACATTTATTTCACTTGCACCAAGGGGTAAAGATAGATGCACAAGTTGTGCCTGATTCTCTTTCTTTTCCCTTTCTGGTCCCAGCTAAACAAGGCAGATTATTCAGTGTTCCTTATATTGTATGGGTTTTGTCAGGAAGCTGATAGAAAAGCCACAAGGTTGGATATTTTTGCAAATAAAATAGTTTCTGGTTTTAGCCTTTCAAATATTTCTGCACTGGTGGTCAGAAAACAACCAAAAAATCATAACTCTTCCCAATTATGTCTGCAAAGCATCTTATTGCCTGATATCAACAACCTTCAATGTTTTTACTTTTTTTTTTTTTTTTACATATTTTTAATTAACATTTACCAGCTAAAAGTAATTGAATGTGCAAAATTATGGGTTTATATATTGTTTTCATCCTTTGAAATATTTTTAATTATAAGAACATAATGTTATATCTACCTAAATGAAGATCCTGCAATCAGCAGCCATTGTTTTAAGTATTTTTTGTAGTGAGAAATAACAACATCTATAGGAAAGAAGCTGTCTGTTCATCCCATCACTCTGAGATGTGCTTTTTTATTATTATTTTTTTTAGTGTTTTTGTTTAAAGAAACCTGTCTGAAATGGAATTAAGAAAAGATCTCAAGGACATGGTAGTAAAGTTAAAGCCCTGCCCCACGGCCAGTATATTTCATGTTGCATGGTCTTTTTTGAAGGCTCTGGATGATGACTCAGAACATATTTGCTAAATATCTATCTACAAGAGGCTTCCCATTGATCCCTGTGCCAGTCACTAAGGGTAAGTGTTATTAAATGTGGAAGAATTCAAAATCACTTCAATTATTTAAAAAACGTAATCACTTGTCTCTCTCTGTGATTCTTTTCCATGTTTTCTCCTATCTTTTCCCTTGTGCATTTAAGGCTTGTCATGACAGGCACTGTCTCTTACTATATGTTTGTAGAATATGAAGGAAAATAGGAATGTGCCTAGGTGGAACACATGACATATTGCTAAACAAGAAATAATAAATGAGTTTCAGTAATTATAGAAGATGGCAGAGTGTACCCAATTTTCATATATTATCTGAAGTACTCTATTTGTTGTTGAAAACATACCTCTAATTTTTAAGGTATTTTTTTGATATTTCACTTCCCAATACAATTTAGCTTGAAATCTTCCTCTGATGTTTCATTTTGCCTATTTATTGAGGTCAGGCTGATATTTCCCCCATTCTATTTTTCTTTTATCAGGGCTGTATTTATTCTCTCCCTTGCATTCTTACTGTAATTGCATATGAAGTCCTTGGGAAAGTTGTGTTTTTCTTTTCCATGGATGAAATATGGACTGAATTTATGATGGCAGGGTGATTTCTCTTGACCTGTTGTTTGGGTCTGCAGGAGCAAGAACAAAGCCTGTAATAGGCCTTGGGAGACTGTAGCCCTAAGGCCAAGGTCACATCACGTGTGGTGTCAATACTTCCTTCCCCTTTCTTTATCAAAAATGCAGGGGACTGACCAGGTGGGTCAGCTGGGCACAAGTGTAAGGTTAACTGTCTTCTTGGGTCCTTCAGCTGGAGTACAACCCGAAAATCAAGGGTGTGAATATCTCACTCAGCTAGGCATTTCTTAGGCTGAACCTTGGAAAGCTGTCTTGGTCCCTTTGGTCTGAGAAGGTAAGACCAGCAGACCCAGCAAAAAAACACTTTGATGATGAAAGCATTGGAGAAGTTGATGTGTGAAGACACCCACGAGGAACTGGATTTGTTCACTCTGAAGAAATCGTGGCTTGGGGAGTTCTAATTGCAGCCTTCCAAGATCTCAAAGGTGCTGATGGAGAGTGAGTTATCCACTTCACAAGGATGCATGGTGCCAAGACATGATGCAGCAGGCATAAGTTTCCTGAAGAAGAATTCTGCCTGGATATGAAAAATATTCCTCACAGTGAGAATATTCAAACACTGGATATTTTACCCAGCAGATTGCTGGAAGATCATCTGAGAGATACATTGACTTGATGTGGCCCTGCTTTCAGAGCAAGATTCAATCTTAAGAACTTCAGAGATTTTTGCAACCTGGTTTTCTATGCTTCTGTGATTCAATGTTTCTTTTATTCTTCACATTGTAAATACATTCATACCCTGACTTCATGCCTAAGTGAAGCTATGATTTTTCCAATAGACAGGCATTTAAGGCGTATTTCTATATGATGCACTTTCCTTGAAAGAAATATTGAATTAATATTTTTGCTTTTCCAGGAGGATGAATGTGATATCACCTACCAATTTCTTGAGGAAGGAATAAAGCTAAACAGCCAATAGGCTGTTCTGAGTCTTTTGTGTTACCTCCATGATTCAAGTTCTACCCCTAGAGAAAGAGGTGCATGTTCAGCCTGGTCTGTGTCCCTTTACCTTTGAGGTAAACTCTCTAAGACAGTACAGTCTGAGCACATTACTCTGCTTTGTGTCAGATATCACTATAGCAATGGAAAAATATGTCAAGACTGAATGTCATACCTTTGGGTAGCTTCATGTGTTTCTGACATGAAATCCATTATATCAGCCTGAAAAATGAACACTTCTTCAAAGCCTTCTGAAGTACCTAGTTTGTCTTAACATAGGCATATTCCAGGTATTTGGGTTATAGCACACCAGTATCATAAGCCATGACTAATAAATTCTTTACACTGAGAAAATCTTTGCTGAGTACAGGCCTGCATAGCAAAGTGTTCCTGGAGTGAAGACATTTGAAAGACATTTTAATTCCAATGGCACCACGCAGAGGGCATTAATCTTTCTTATGATTTCCTCTATTGTAACAAAGAAAAAGATTTTTAATGTGCAAACCTCGTTAAATCAATCATCCTTGGGAATTTAGATACACAGTGTGATAAAGGCAACAACTTTCAATACCTAGAGGCAATTTTTTCCATATGTTTTGGGTGTTGGGTTTTAGGAAACATAAGCATTTTAATGGATTTTTGGCTATATTTACAATATAAAATTTTAATTTAAGGATGCCTTACTCTAGGTTAAATAATATAAAGTTCTCACCTATAACAATGGAATATGAACCTGTGTTTGGTGCTTTCAGGTATAGTAAGGATGACAGTGGAGAGGTCAATCTAAGCTATCAATTACCTGGTGCTGCAGAAATGTGGTACAAAGTATGACAAATATTGAAAGAAACCATTGGCTTTTAGACGTTCTTGAATTTATTAAATTTTTTAAGCAAGTGTTTCAGCTATTGCATTTCTTCAGTTCCTGGGATTTAGCAAGGCCTCTTTATTCAATAACAAATTTATACAACTTAAAACTGTTTGCATACCTGGAATTTGGTTCTGTATTTGGAGAAAATAAAAGTGTAATACTACTTGAAAAAGCCAAAGATTATGTCATTTTGCATCACAAAGAGATGGCTGACTATGTCTAATCCTCAGGCATTTGTCAAGCCTCGGCTTCCCATGGGAGAAGATTTTTACTGAGTGCCATAGCCTTTAGAGCAAACTAGGACATTTGATGTATTTCCACATGGATAACAGCATTACATGACATCTAAGTAAACTTACATTATCCATTAATTGACAGCTTAGATCTGTCTGGCTCAAGGGAAACAGACAACTGTGTGAAAGCTGGGGTAAGGTTAGAGGACAAATGTCAAATGTCCCTGGGTTATATCTCATGAGACAGCTAGAAGTCCAGCACTGTTACCTGGATTTAGGCTTATATCATAATCTTTTGCCATTCTTCCTTTTCAAAAAACATGGTTTTTTTGCAAATAGAATAGACCATGGGCACTCAAACAAGATGATCTTTTTTTCCTTTAATTGTGTGGCTAATAAAATATAATTTCAGAATATTTTAAGAGATGTTTAATGTATTTGTGTAATCAAATCCCTTTACACAATTTTGCAGCTCCAAACATTTATGCACTTCACTATATAACAGAAACTCAGGAAACTTTGTATCTCTCTGCTGTCTGTTCTTCCCTCTGAAGAAAAGCATCTCAGTTTAAATGAATGAAATAAAATAATAATTAAAAAAAGAGAACAAATAAAGACTAATAGGGAGTCTGTATGCAATTTAGGATGCCTAAATGGCTTAACTAGGCTTGGTGAACTACTGAGTAGATTTTTTTTGTGAAAACCTGGCAGTCTTAGGCGTTGCCTCCTTAAGAAGTTGAAAGATAAACTTTGTTGAACCTTTATCTTCATCACCTTCTGCATTTGTTTATCGAGTACTGTCTTAAGCAAGTAGCTAGTGTCAGAGTATGTAATACAGTTTTACAGTCTTTGTGCAGACTTGAGGATCACAAAAAAAGAATGAGATGAGAAGGCAGATAAAAATTATCCATGACATTAGAATTCCTTTTAGAAACTGAAAGTTGCCCCCTCTGACCTTAATCACTTGGGTCTTGATTTGGTTGTCTCTTTCGCCTGTGATTGAAGGTAAAACTGTCCACTTCTGCTGTCCAAGGAAAAGGAGCTCGCACATTCTGGTATGGAAATAGCAGAGATTCTCAAATTTTGAGCTCAAGTAACATCTCCCAGGCATCTCCATCCTGGCTACCTGGCTACCATGCAGCGGCCTTGAAGCCTGTGCAAAGGAAACACAGGCTATTTGAATTAACTATCCTCCACTCTGGATGAACAAAGGCAGCATTCATGATCCTTCATTTCATGGAAGAAAATACATCACCTTTTTGATCAGAAAGACTGGACACTGTTCTGAAGAAAACATTTTCTAGGACCTTTGCCACTGTTTTCCTGGTGACAACAGTCTGAGCCTCTTTCCTCAGGTGATGCAAAGATGATTTGTGATGATGAATCCCTCCGTGAAGGCATTAAGACTTTCTGCATCTGCAGGAATGAGGAATGTTAGTTTATGTGTATGGTAAGCATCTGTGAAACAGCTGATGTGTTTACAGTTTAAACCCAGAACTATCCCTCTGACCTACCACTTCTGGGCTCATGCCTTTGTGTCTTTGCTAAATACCTAGACCAAGCCTGAAGAGATAATAATCTAGTTGCTCTTGGCATCTTCTGCTGTCAGATTTATCATTACTTATTAACTGAAAACTAAAAAACATGACTAATTGGATTAAACTGAAGCTACTGTTCCTTCCTGATATGTACCTTTATAAATTTTTTTTTGGATCAAAATCAGTAACAAATTACATTATTTCCACCACTATTTCCAGTATTTCAGCTGGTAGCAGCAGGACTACAAAAATGGTCAATATCCAAAACATTTCGTAATTTATGCTTGATTATGTTTTGTGGTTCAATTATTAAGTGCTGTCATGTTTAGCTTGGCTCTGATGTGAGTTCTGTGCTAGGTTTATTATCAGAAGTATTGTAAATATAGCCTTCTTTCTCACATGAGTTCTTGCACTGTGTGTGTCTTACAGGCTGGAAATTACAGTATTACAAATTGTCTAGGAGTTCATATTTATTAAACAAGACAATAACAAACCAAATATGCAATTTTGTGACAATGCTGTCACACTGCAAATCACAGTGGAGCTTCTTAACAGCAAAAAACACAGGTAAAGCATAACAGAAAATAACTAATATAATAAGAAGGCATAATAAAAACAAAGGCAATGATGTAGTTATAAAAAACATGATGAGAAGGCTACTGTAAGACAGATAAAAAAACTGTCACAAAATAAAACAGCTTTACAGAAGCCTTGTTCAATGATTTTAGACATACACAATAAATAATGTGTTTATCCCTTTTTGGAAAATGTGTCAGGTGCAAATTAAGTTTTCTAAATGCATTTTGTAGTCATTAAGGCTTGGACTGATTCTAAAATTAAAAGTAATTCTAAAAGTGTGAGGAAGAAAGTATATCTGTTGAAACTGGTGGCGTGTGCCTGATGCTGGATGAGGTGATCTGGGACCTTCTAAAGGCTAATGGGGTATCTGGAGTGCCATGGACAAACAACCCTTCCACAGCCACCCCTGGTCTGGCAACAAAAGACACCACCATTCCTTGGTGGGAAAAGAAAGAGAAAAGGAGATAGTCCTGTACATGTTGTTTATCCCCCAAAACATGTGCCCCAGAATATTTTGAGCTGCCCCTGCTGCAAGTCCCTGGCTGCTTTGTACATCAGCTTTCCAGACTCGACAAGTGGGCTCAGGACATACAGACACACAGATACATCCTCCTTTTTATGATAGCTCACTCTTAAATTACAAGCCTTTAACGCACCTTCAGACTATAAAATACTGTCATACAGAAATAAAAGCAGTGAAAAAGAGGCAGGCTGCAAATTCACTGTCAAGGTTTAGTAATTTGCAGAACCTTTTATTAAATCTTCCATTTTTCTGGAATTTACAGGCAATTCTAAACCTGAATTTCAGCACACATTTGCTTGAGGAAGCTATTACATTAATAACTGTGTATGACATGCATGGAGAACTATAATGTCTTACAGACATGTAGGCAAAACAGCGGATTTTTAGGATCTGAGAAAGTACAATTTGTAAACATAGTGCAGTAAAATGCCTTCTTCTCTGTTTCTCTGTTTCTCACTGGCTGATTTTCAATTTATCTCCTTCCCACACTCTCCCAGCAATTGCTGTATCCCTTCTTAAGCCAGCAATCCTAAAATGCACAAGGTCTGGACATGTCACTCAGAAGTTCTCATGCAGCTGCACAAATGAGGAGAAATACAGAAGACTAATGAGAAAACAAATCTGCTCTACACTGCCATATACTACAGAAACCGAGAGGTTGTTCAAGACTTATCACTCTAGGGAAAATAATAAGCAAACCTTACAAGAAGTACTATTGGGGTAACAATTAAGATGTATTTCTGTTCTTTTTCCTAAACAGAAATGTTGGTTTGGTGCACACATTCTTTTTTTTCCCTTTGAATCATAATCTTTAATCACATTAACCTTGCAGACAGCCTGCATAAGTTACATAACTTTAAATATTCAGGATTGATCTCCTAATTGTATTTTTCCCATGGTAGAAAACTGATGCGGAGCTTGCCCCATCTACTGCCGTCTTCTTTTATTAATTTATAGAAATATGAAAGACCATTTTGAAAACTCCATATTTATCTGTATTCTTCCTGGGCTGTGCTCTCATGAAAGCACGTGTTATTCCTTGTGGTAATTTAGGACATGGTTTAGTGGTGTTCCTGGTAGTGGTGGGTTAATGGCTGGACTTGGTGACCTTAAAGGTTGTTTCCAGTCTAACGGGTTCTACAGCTCTATATAAAAATGTAAATCCATGTCTATATTATATTATATTATATTAATATATTATTATATATTATATTATTATATTATTATATTATTATATTATTATAATGTATACCTCTATATAGAAACCCCAGGAAAAGGTTTAGGTGAGCTTGACATGGTATGAGTCATGGTAAAGAACACGTGCACATACTTTCCCTTCCTTCTCAGAACTGCCATAGCTTACCTGCACAATGGAGTTTAAGCAAAAAGTGTGAAAATCCAGCATTTAAGCTGCACCATACATTGTTCCCTCTCTGACTGCAGAGGTCTGCACAGAGATTACATCCAGCTAGCTATCCAGTGGTTATTGGAAGAATACAGACTGAGAACTCAACTCAGCTACCACAGAAGTACTGTATGATTTAACCTCTTGAAGGGATTTTAGGCACATATTGAAGAAGAACAAAGCAGTTTCCCATATTACCCATTTGAGGTGGTTTGCTTTTCAGCACACAATACTTACCAAGACTGCTATGATTTGCCATGCCTACCCTGTTACGTGAGAACATTTTTGGTGGGACCCTCAGGTCCCCTCAACTCTGTCAAGGTTTGCGTTATGAAAGCTGGTTATCTGAGCTTATGCCTTACTTCACTTGAGACAGTTTACACCTATCAGCTGTAATGTTCCCGGCTTTCTGCTGTTTCTTGATTTAAAATACTCTTCAATGAGTGATTTCAAATACAAAAGTTTTGAAAACTGTGATGGAGTCAGAGCGAAGTTTCTCCCCTGACACAGCCCTGACGATCCAGACACTAACAGGGATTGTAAATGGTTTGTACATCAGTTCAACTATGCCACTGGTTTGCAAGGACTAGAAAAATAATTCCTCCTTCTTGCCATCTCTTCAATCTGTGTGCTAAGGAAAGTTTGTGGTAAAATTTGGCAGTCATCCAGCATTTACCCAGACCTTTTTTTTTAAGTCTAAATGTGAAGATAATGTGAAGCACCTGAAGAAGAGATGGAGAGACACCACCCATACACCCTCCCTTGAGCTACGTAAATTCATTTGTTGGGTTAGACTTGCGCTCAAAAAAACCAGAAGTGCACAAGTGGATGCACTTCTACTCATCAGCATCGTAAAAGCTCACAATCCAGCAATGCTGGTCATGATTAAAGCAGTCTGAAGCACCACAACCTGTTTGATATGGGTTTGATACACACAGATATAGTGCCATACTCCCTATGCCTAAGTGCACCCATTTTAAATTGTATTTTCTTCACCTTAGTGGGAAAAAAGCAAGAAACGCAGGTCGATGTGGAACATCAAAAGGCCACTGATCTCTCCGGGGGTGAAAAGACAAAGGAAAAAATATACAAAAATAAGCCTTTTTTTTTTTTTTTCTCAGATGCTTTCAAGAAAAACAAAAGCTGCAGCTCTATTTTACAAAACACACTTAAACAACCTAACACTGAATTATTCATGCATGTTCTGAAATACATGCTTTGTAACCCAGAATTAATTGCCCTTAGTGGTGAGTATATCTCTTCTCATTGTAAATACTTTGTCAATTGAAATACAAACGTTCTGCACAAAAAGAAAAGATGTTAACACAAACAGTGTCATAAGCTTAAGAATATTATCACCTTCCTTTTCCGAACGACTTTGGACCAAGTTTTATTTTTGAAGCTGACAGACAGACTGGATTTTCACTGGTTTGAAAACTCAGGCCAGAGATTTTTCCAATGATCAGATCTTTTTGAGGAGGAAATTCACTGATTCTGCTTGCATGCAGACATAATCTAAATTTCCATTTGTCTTATCAAACTCCCTCTGCTAGGATTTTTCTGCAGTTGATAATAATTTTGTAGGATTTTAAGACTGGACTGCTCTGTTAGAGGCCTATTTCTACCCAGACAGTCATCTGACTGTCTGTGAGGTACCTCTTCTTGAAATACATGGCTGAAATCAGTGTCACTCCTGGAAATACAGAGTACAGAAGAGCTTGCCTTTTGACTGGTATAGTATAAGAGAACCACAAAAACTCAAAGTGAAAAAGAGATTGGGGCTTTTCTGAAACAAAAGCAAAATCTTTCGCAGTATGGAAATCAATTTTTTGCAATGAAGCTTTTCTACTTGATTAGGTACAAAATGCTTTCTCTGTTGATGCCTAAATATCAAGTGCACTTTGAAACCTGTGCAATTGGATACAGGGATTAGGTGCTATATTTCAAACCAAGGTCTATTCTTCAATGCTGCCTGCTAATGAAGGAAAGTTATTTCTTATCAGAAATACCACCTGTGCCCTGTGTCCTTTAACTGGGCCCTTGAGAGTTACTCACAAAACAAAATTTCATTTCACCACAAAATTCAGGGTAAATGCAATTTAACTAATGGACTCAACCTTCAGCACTTATGTTGCGGGTGGTAGGAGGAGAAGAGTGACTAATTAATTTCCTCTGATCCCATGGCTGTCATTTAAACTTCAGGGTCCTGCTGGCACCAACAATTAGATCAAGCAGTTATTCATGGCACCGCACAGTTGGCTCTGGTCTTATCCTGGGCAGAGGGGAGGGAGAGACAGAGGCATCTGAGGGCCACTGAAGTATTTCTTTGCTAGATAGGGACCTTTAGCTGACCCATCAGCTCTGGTTAAGACAGTGACTTTGTATGTGATATGTTTGATAGGCGTGTGTTAAGGCTCTGCTCTGTTGCTTAAAGGGGGAATTTCAGTTGCAAAGGGGAAAGGAAAGTTGGGGCATGGCTGCTGTGCCCTTCCAACCTAAGGGGCCATGAAGACATCAGTCTTGTTCTTGGCCCTTTCCTCTTATCAGTCCCCCAGAGCAGTCTCTGTTGCTAAATGTTTGCCCTTCTGAATCTAAAATAATGGTAGATCCAGTCTTGGGTGTTGCTCAAGAATTTTAGCATTTCCCATGGCTAAAATGTATGACTCCAAATGAATCCTGACATCTGCACACCCAAACACATCCTTTGCTGGCATCACACCTTGCCATTTTTCTGCCCTCTCATTCTCAGCATCCTTTCTTGTGTTTCCAATAGCTCAGATCCAAGTCATGTGGACATTCAGGTCAGGTTTGGGCAAGGTAAATGAAGATGTTAGGGGGTGATGTTAGGGTATGAAGTTCAACTGACTCTATTAGGAGGCTCATGCAGTTTTTAGTCTTAATTTGGTGATGTGCTGATTCTTTTCTTCCTTATGTGGATAGGGAAAAGCAGTTTTCACATGCTCTTATAGTTCATTGGCAACTCTGGTCACCTGGCAAGCATCATGATTATCACAAAACCAAGAGGCTCAGAGGAATGTGACCTTCCTCACAGGGATGGGAAAGATGTGACATTCTCTTATTTTCTGTTTTTTTTTTGCTTTTGGGGTTGGTTTTTTTTTGAGCTCTGACATACCATAACCTATATGAGAGGTGCCATGGCACAGATGAGAAGTAAGAGTGACAAATAGCTTTCCTTTTATTTGGAGGTGTGAAATATGCTGGGAGATGTTGCAAACTATATTAAGGCACTTATTATTGTACTAATTAATGACTCATGCATATATAAAATATATATATATATATTCAAATGTTGAAGAGCAGCTGATGGGTTTGGACATACAACTGGCAGCTAATTACCCTGTCTCCAAAAATCAGATTGCTTTAAAATTTTTCAGAGGCTGTGCAGCTAAACCCTAGTGTTTTTGAAAACATCAGCTATTTTTTACCAGTTAGGTAAAACTGGAGTTTTTATTCCTCAGAAAAAGTACTAGCAATTAACTTAAAGTATATTTTTTTCTGGTAAAAGAAACCCACACTAGATGTGACAGGCAGGTGGACAGAAAAGCATGTACACTCGGGGCCAGAATAAGATATAGTTAGTGGTCCAAGAGGAAGCAAAAATATGCAGTAGAGTTCACAGCGTTCATTGAGGTTGGAAGGATATAGCAGTGTGTCAGAGCTGCACACACACTGCAGAGTCAAGACACTGAGGATAAACACCACTGGGCTGTATTTCAGTTGTCAGACACTGTATTTGCAAGCTTGATCTCAGTTTTGTGAAAGAGTGCTATGGATGGGTTGTTCCCCATATAAAAAATGTAAATGTTTTCTTTCTCCATTTTTTACAGATAAACAAAGCCATAGCTTAATCTGTGTTATTCCCAATTAAGACTTTTCATGTACTTCACACCTAAGTTATCCTACGTGTAAAGGCTTGGCTGTGCATGAGGAGTGACAGAGGAAGCCGTCATGCTCACTCATCATAATATACCATTATTTTATTTCTGCTGTAATGTCTCTTCTAAACATCATAAAACACAACCAGTGGCTAATGTGGCAGACAAGACATGAGAATAACAAAGAAGAAGCCCTGAAAGAACTGAAATTTCTTTTTTTTCAGTGGCAATGTCATTCACCCAGAAGGGGGAGATCTCAGCCTGCGTGCTGCAGCAGCCAGCACCTAGCCAGTATTTCAGCTCCAGCTCAGAATTTTTCTGACAGGGAGATTTCAACACAAACCATGCAATTTAGTGCTGGAGCACACTGGACTTCATATGCTTAAAAAGATGCACACATATAGTCATCACACTTCATAATTTAATAAACTGCTAAAAAATTGCACACGTTTTCATTTTAGCAACTTAGGTCCTGCAACTAAACTCACAATGCTACAAAGACATTTGAATTTTTCACTAATATG